GCTTCTTGACAAGCCTTGATTTCTTTTATAATGACATGTTTTAGTTTCTTATATATTATATAAAAATTATTGTTTTGGATATTATCTGCAATAATATTTGTTAAAAACTCAAACATTCTTTTATCTTCTTTAAGTTCAACCTTTCTAGAAGATAATAGTTTATTACAATTATGAAAATCCAGTTCTATATTATCGTTATATTCATTAACTTCATTTATTAAACTTTCTGATTCATCTATAGGATTAATTGTCTCATCTTAGAGAGTGCTTATAAGATAGCTGTAAGAATTTTATCAAATAAAAGGAATAGGTAGTTATACCTTCTTTGCATAGTAGTATATTGTAGAAAGAATTCTGGATTTTTATCTACATATTCTTTAACAAGGTGTTTACACACTAGGTAAATATTATTTATAAATGCTAGATATGAACAAATCCAATTATTAATATTTGTTAAATAATTATTCTCAGTGTCAATTTCTTTATCTAATGCCTTTTTCTATTCACTTTTAAATGCATCCCACCAGGATAAATGATCTCATTAATTTTTATATCTTTCCCATATATTTATTTGGTTTGGAATCAAGTCTTGTATTAAAATTTGTATTAAGTGATCCAAATGGAAGTGATTACAAGTATATTTGTAACCGTGTTTTATAAAACACCAGTGCAATTCAATAAGTATTGTTGTTCTTGCTAATAGAATTGCATTAGAAAACAAAGTCCTGGCAAAAGGTTTCAATCAGTTTTATTATACCAATTGGACCACAAATATCTCTATAAATAAACCAGATTTTTATTCTTACAATACTTATAAATTTCTTTAACACTTTCAAAATAAATTCTTTCTAAGGTAAGAAAAACCCTTTGATTAAATGGAATAAGAGGTGTAATATTAAGTGTCTATAAATTATAGCTAAGACCTCTTTTATATTTTTTTCTAAACATAAAATATTTATATTTTTTTTAGAAACTCAGGAAATATCTATGAAATCAAATTGCTTATTCGCCTCTTTTGCTTTTAAGGATATGTATTGACTTAATTTAGATTTTTTTTTTTAATTTTCTACTTATTGCATACTTAATATACCATAAGTATAGTTAAATTTTTACTTTTCTGAACCAGGCCTTTTGTACAGCTGCTATTTGATCTACGTCCTTATTCATAAGAACAAAAGTAGATAAAATATTTTTAATTCTTAATAATAGAAAGAACTCTTTAAGAACTTTTAATTACAAATAAATTTTATTTTTAGGGTTTTGAAGAAGATCTTTTGATGCTATAAAAGTGTCAACGAACAGATAGACAAGTGAAACCCCATGTCTTCTATAATTTATTAATACTGAGAAAAGTTCAAACTTTTGCTGATTCGTTTTATATATCGAATCAATGATAATTTTATTAATATCTATTTTTTTATATAATTATTAAAAGGAGTAAAAAACCTGAATGCATAAACAAAGTTATTTTCGATATACAGCAAAACCTTAAACCCTTCATCAACTAATTCAGTTTGTTTTAAAAAGTTTAGAGACGAAAAGAGTTTATTAGATGCATTTGTAAGATACTGTTAAGCGAAAAACTTTAATATCCAATAATATACTTGATTATAGTTATGTATTTTGGATCAATTTGATTTTCTTCACAAAGCCATTTGTAAATGTCGATTTTTTTAAGATTTTGTTTTATATTTTTAAAAATCCAGATTATAGCATTTTCAGGTAATTTGTTATCAAGATAGATCGGATGCTCATAAAAAATTGAATGTTAAATTTCGATTTTTGTTTGACACATACTGAGATTAATATTAATTATAATATTTCGTTTACACAAATATCAGCTAATTGGAGATCTCATTTTGCTTACTCTTTTTACTACTTGATCAGATGGATGCTTATACTTTCTGTCTTCTCTTTGGCAACAAACAAGATATACTGATGCTTTTTCTGAACTATTTTTATAGACATAAATTTTTCTAACTTCCTAATAATAATGCGATCCGGATTCAATAGGTAAGAGAAAAAAATTACTTAATTTACAAATTTTAGCTTCAATATTATCATTTAAGACTTGGAAATTATCAATCAATTCATCTTCAAATTCAAATGTTTTTAAAAATTTTATTCCTTAACCTTCTTCAACATTTGCAAAGTGTATTGCAACTAATTTCTCTAATTCAGATAACTCATATAAAATATTATCTTCATTATTTTCTAGATCACTATTTTTGTCTTGATAGTTAAAATGATCCAAAATTTCAGAAGTTTTAAAATTATCTTTATTAATATTGGTTTTTTTTTCTATTTTCTGAACATGCATTACATGTAGATATTTTTTGATTTTTGCCTTTATAGAATCTAGTAAATTCTTTAAATTTCTTATTTTTTGAACAATGAGAATATACTTTACTTTAGAGATCATTAGTGATATCAACTGTTTGGTTTAAATAAGCTATAATTTTTAATAGTATTATTCATTTAAGTGTATCAAAAAGAATATTTGATTAAGATATTTATATATTATTTGCAGTTATTTTTATTTTTTTTATTTTTATTTTTTAATTAATATAATGACATAGTAGAAACTTTATTACAAATAGGAAAATAATTCTAAACCTAAAGATTTCTAACTATATTTGTATTATATAAAGCACCCAATGTAACATTACATCCTCTATTTCTTATAAAATACTATAGTTAATTATTTTAAACTAATTTTTAGCTAGGATAGGTTGGAGGAGACCTAAGATGATAGTTATGGCATTAAGTAAAGCATCCAGTTAAAGCATATCTTTGTAAGAGCTATTTATTAATAAAGAGATTAATATCTAAGAGTTGTATTGCAATTAGAGAATTATTTGAGGAAGTATTAAGATGCAATTCTTTTCTGTATAAAAGATTTTAATTAAATTTCAATAAAGACAGAGACATGGTCTCACCATTAAT